TTTTCTCACGATGCTGCCGTTCGTTGGATAGCTTAACTGTTCAGGTACACTCCGTGTCCAACGACTGGGCGTGCGACGTCAAGTACATCAACCCTCTATCCAAGCTATCAAGTCTCCAGCTCTGCAAGTCCTGGATCTCTCCCCTCGCGGAAGACGAGGTCGCCGAGTATCTCGCAGGGATCTTCCCTCTAGCCAGCATCAAGCATACCTTCTGCCCGACGCTCTGGGAACGGCAACACAGGCCGATCGAAGTACAGGCGGGCGCAGTCATTGAGCGGATCAACTCCCTGAGGGAAGAGCTTGCTCCGAGTATTGCCAGGTTGGCTACAGCAACGAAGGTGCGGAAACTCGCGAAGAAGCATCGAGGCCGTTCTCGTGATGCTGATGCGCCATGAGGGCCGGCTGCTGGCTTGTCGTTTCAGGGTATGTGAGCAGTGTCCCGCCTCTATCTAGCTTTGTAGTCCATGCTAACGGCATATGCTAGGGCGCATCTGTAGTGACGACTCGGCGTGTGTCCGTCATCTACCCCGCTCGAGATGGAAGCGTCAGGCCTAGTTTGGGTGACAAAGCGAGGCGGGTGTTCCTTCGTGTCTAAACCTCAGTATTGCTGTTTCACGGAGTGCTTTAGTCTCAGTGTCGTCCGTGTACCGTATCATTTCGCTTCAGCATTTCTGTGTTATGAGGGTAGGCCTTTTCTCCGGGCGTTAATTTGCGTACATCTTTGTGGCTGCTGCGAAGAGCCGTAGTCATGGGAATATTAAACTCGCACGAGATATAAATCAGGTTTTGAAGGTTGATAAGTAAATATAAGAAAGTGCTATAAATGATATTTTACCGTGCGAACGCTGGCCGCGGCAGTAGCGCCTCGCCTTCGATTTCACCTGAGTTGTTGCCTGTCATCTCCTGGACACTGACTCACGAAATGCATCCCTGCTTGAATATTGATGAAATTGTGCAGAATATCGTCGGACATGTCGGAATGAACTCGACGCTCCATAGTATTGCGCTAGTGTGCCATGCGTTTGTCGAGCCGGCAAACGACAGGCTGTGGGTCGATCTAAAGGGTCTCAAGCCCTTGATCAACTGTTTACCAGACTATCTGGTAGGCGCATCTCAAGCCTCTGACAATGTCCTGGTGAGCCTATCATATACGCTGTGGTATGAGTGAACGTCCTCTTATCTCATCTGCGATGCTACGGCTATAGACTATCATCAAACCTCCGTTGCCAGCCGACTGGCAGAGGTTTCGGTATCACGCTCGCCAAGTGAAGTCCCTCCATGTCTGTCACGATAATCACACCAAATACGCGGTGGACGCAGCCGCTGTTGAGATACTGGCGAGGTACTATCCCGGCCCCATTTTGCCTAACCTTGCGCACCTGGATTGGGATAGCTCGGCCCTCGCGAAATATGCTCCACTCTTCATTCGGCATACACTGATTGCCTTCTGGTATGAGCCTGCGATGGAAGACGAAATGCGCACTGTTCTCAAGCATATAGGAACGAATGCACCCTCCCTCGAGCAACTGTGGTTTAGCCTTGCCGCTTGCCAGACATTAGGTACTCTTGATTCTGAATTGTCGCAAACCATCACCTCTCTAAGCCGCTTAACTACCTTTGCCTTTCACCAAACGGCGCCGCGATCCGATGTTCTCATGCATCTCTCCCGGTTCCGGCGTCTGACTACTCTCAAACTGCGTCTCTGCGCCGACTCAGACGGGAGCATCCAAAACTCCCAGAGTTCTCTTACCTTGGGGAGGTCCCCTAAACTGAAAAACCTCGTAGTCAGCCTTGACAATCTCACTCCTGCTTCATTAATTCTGCAGACATTCTCAGGATCGAGCCTCACTTCTCTTAAAATCTACATAACCCCACGAACTCCCGTCGAAGATTTTGGACGAGTTACGTTAGCCATCAGTCATTTGAAGTGTCTGCAACTCTGTTCGATACAGTTCCGGTTTTACGTCCTTCCAGGCGACTGGGAAAACGTGGTTATCGACGAGAGCACGCTGTCGCCTCTGTATCAAATTACGGGGATGCGGTGGTTCGAGCTCAACCATCATACACCGAAAATATCTCAACCAGAGGCCGTCCGCAACCTCGCAGCTACATGGAAGCACTTGCGGGAGCTGTTGCTCGTCCCCTGGTCAGATCACCATTGCCAGCTTCGTCTCGAAGACCTGTCTTTCCTCTCGCGGAGTTGTCTTAGTCTGGTGAGACTAACTGTCCAGATAACTCCCGTGGGCGACGGCTGGGTGTGTGACGTCGAGACTCATCGCTATCAGCCTCCGTCTCCCCTATTATACCTCCACCTCTGCAGATCCTACATATCTCCCCGCGCAGAATTCCAGGTTGCCGCCTATCTCGCAAATAATTTTCCATCTGCCACTATTTCGCACGACTTTCCAACTCGTCCGCGTACCTGGGAATGGAGTCAGAGACTCCTCTGGGTTCTGTCCGGGCCGCCTGCGCGCGAATTGGACGCGGGCGAAACTATTGAAAGGATCAACGAGCTGAAGAAGAAGTTAGCCCGCGACACTAGTGGCAAGGACAGACACAGGAGGTTATAAAGACGCCGCGTGGTAGATCCAGCAATGTTGCTCTCGTCTGTGCTGTACGGCACACGGCACCAATACCAGCTCGTACGTTTCATGCATTCACCTGCGGACTGTGCAGAATCAGATAGAGCGTGTCCATTTTCGCTGCAGTTCGTAATCTTCCATCGTCGTGTCTCCTGCTTCAAACTTTTGTTCATGTAGCTTTATTCGGGTTAGCCAGCCGTCAGTACGATTCATCGGCGAGAATTCGACCTCTCCACTGCTTGGTAGAGATCATCTCCGAGTGTAACTGTTCTCTACCATATCTGTAGCCCGTATTTAGTATTCCATATACTGGACAAAGATCTGCTTCGTAACCTCGATCGCTCCCGACTTGCGAGCCGAGTGTCTGAGCGCGCATCATGATGAAGCCATCTACGTACAGATCTCAATTTATGCAACACTTGCGACCGTCAGCACTAGCCAGACCCGTCCGTTTCAACAACACTTAGCTCATCGCTGACTTATGAATAGCGTACCTCACGGCGCGAGTCATTTTCCGGTCGTACTGCCTCGCCTGACGCGGCCTGGTTTATTTTATTAGCTCATCGATATGCACGTGAGTGGAATGAGTCCCTCCACTTATAATCAGACCGCACGCACATACTATGAGGGTTCAGGTTCTTGTCGTCACATTACTCGATGATCGTTCGGCGGTTCTGCTAGACGGCGACTAGCAACAACTACAGTGCCACGAGCAGAGGCCCGGCAGCCTCATTTTGTAGGTCTATGCAGAGGCTGACTCCACTGCGGACCGTAACAGTCTTTTTATGCTGCATGTACAAGAGTATGCGATGTTCTGCGATGTTCTGTAGAGAGCTGGACACTATGCTCTCAGTCAATTTCTGGGACAAAGCGCATACTACCGAGCACTCTCGCAGGAGGGGCGGGGATGCTCCGGGTCGTTGGTTGTGGGGTGACCTGAGACACTAATCCGTTCAACACTCACTGCCGATCTCTTGCAAACAATCATCTCTCTGAGTCATTTAACTACTTTCATTTTCCCCTACGTGGTGCCACGATCCGACGTTCTCATGCATTTCTCGCGCCTTCCACGTTTGGTTACTCTAAGGCTACATCTCGACGAGAACAATCAAGGCTCCTGGACTTCTCCTGCATGGGGAGGCTTCCCCTCGCTGAAGCGTCTTCTTCTCAATTCCAGCATACTCATGGATCGTGGTCTCATCGCCGCCACATTGTTTCTGCAAACCCTGTCGTCGTTGCGCCTTACCTCGCTCGAAATCACTGCAGCACCACCAGCCCATGTCGAGGATTTCGGGCGGCTCATGTTTGCTATGAGTCATTTTCAGCACCTGCAAGACTGTACGGTCGATTTTTATACCCTTAGCGACTGGCACAGCATGGTCATTGATGGAAACACGCTCTCGCCTCTGTACCAAATCTCAGGCATGCGGAAGTTTGGTCTGGGGTATGTGCTTATTATATTCCAGAGGGAGGCCGTCCGTGACCTCGCCGCTGCATGGGAGCATCTTCAGGAATTGCAGCTCTATCCCCATATGACCAACCGTTACCAGCTTCACCTCGAGGACCTGCCATTCTTCTCACAGAGTTGTCACACCCTGAAAACCTTAGTGGTCGAGCTATTCCCTGTAGGCTATAACTGGGTGTGCGACGCCAGTATCCACAGCTCTTCGTGCCCCCTGTCATGCCTCCACATCGGGAAGTCCGAGATATCTCGCCGCGCAGAAGCTGAAGTTGCCGCCTACCTCGCAGAGATCTTTCCGTATGCTGTCATTGAGCACAGCTTTCCACCTCCGCCACGGGGTTGGACAATATCAGAGTCATGCGCGGACGAATTCGAATTCGAAGCGACAGGAACTATTGCGAGGATTGATGCGCTAAAGAAGACGCTGATTCGTGGCGCTGTGAGGGCAAAAGCTAGAGAGGAAGATGATGATGACGCACCGGTGTCACTCTAGTGACAGTTCCCTCGTCTACACGGTGCGCCAATTCGGGAAGTTCGGAGGGTTTGTCGTCAATATCGCTCCGTGTGGCCAACGCAACGTTGCTTGGCCGAACTTGCACGTCGGTCGCGACCAATTTTTTTTCTCTGACGTGTTCTTATGTACGTGAGCAGAACGTGCTTATTCTTGACGCTATACCCACGCATGTATAAATCGATTGAACTCAAGCCACTGTTGCCATACGAACTAACGATTTGCTCTCCGTCGCTGCCAGAATTGGCTGGGAACGTCCACTGTACAGCGAGCTCACATAAGCTTGTTCGCCAGGTGCTCAGGCTTAACGCAGAGACAAAGATGCTGGACTTCGCGTCGCGCGCAAGAGGCTGTGCAAGGACCGGGCGGCCGCGCTCTGCTCAAGGCCCGTGCTCAGGACCCCTCGGCAGACGGAAACGCTCTTTTTTGTGCCCATGAATAGGCGAAGTTCTGTGATGCACTAAGCACCGTGCGTCTGTACTCACGGTCAATGGGGCGGCCTCGAGAAAAACACGTGTTGCTCGAGCATGACGCCTGCAGGCAACACTGCTCTGGGTCCTATTGCCCTCCAATGACGTCAGAGAGAATAGCTTCGCTCGTTGACGTTCCAAAACTTGACTGTCGAGGCATGCGACGTGCATAGGACATGTCCGTCAACTGATCGATGCTGGCTATGTCACTCGCAATCCCGAAAGAGATACGAGGCAAGCGTAAAAGGAGATATCATCGTGAAAGCCACGTACATTTCATAGCAGTATGCGGGAGAACTACATAATAGTACATGAGTTAGCATGAGCACGAGGCGAGGAATCGCGAGCATGATTTGAAAGTGCATGACGGACGTAGAGTATGCGAGTGTGCTTCTTTGAAATAGCCAGGAACGAGTCCACAACGGCGGGGCTTCGTTCGAACAACTCGATAATAGCCACCTGTTCACTGTCCGAGTATTCGTTGTCGTCCTCCATAAGATGTATAGCCTTGGCGCGACGCTCTGCGGCTGACGGACTCGAACGTCCGTGGATATGCTCGCCACCAGCCGGGGATGCGGCCCTCTGAGCACGAGCTGAGCCCATATGTGCGTTCTCAGATATAGACCTAGTCATGGTCGGCGACACCGGCGGAAAATCAGAAGAGGTGGTTGTACTGTTCCGGGGGCCTCGCGGACGCTTCCGGGATGTGCGGTCTGGGCTGGACGAGCGCTTGCGCTGGTTCCCCACGGTATGCTGGGATAGTGCAGGGCCAGATGCTGAAGCAGACGGTGCCTGCGCAGGCTTAACAGAAAGCGGGCGTGATATTACATGGTAGAGGACATACCTGAGCGCTGTACGAGTCGTCGCCTTCAAGCCAGAAATCATCCTCTTCATCGTATTCCAGAGCAGGGGAGGCTGGGGATTCACGTGCAGCCTCGGTTTGCGGAGCGGCTGGTAGAGGTTGTCGATCTGCAACGTCTTCAGGGCGGTTCATGTCACAAAGCACTTTCATCTTTTCAAACAAGGGCCAGGGTTTGCTACGATATTTCTTGTAACGCCCGTTGGCCTATAAATCGATGATTATACACCTGCACGGTAGCAGTTAAGGCGCGTGGCACGCACCATGACTATCTCTTCCCACTTGTCACCCGGAATGATGAGCATCTTCTTTTCGTCGTCCCACCCTATACCCGGCTGGTTCCTCAAACGGCAAAAATCCAAGAACCTATCCTTGAGCTATATAAGGGTCAGAAGAGATAAGCTGCATTATCATTTTACATACTGCGCGGAAGTGGCCAAAGCACCTCATTGCGGTCTTTGCAGCACCGTACTTGCCAGTACTCTCAGCGTTGACCTTGATAGCAGCCCGTCTCCAGACAATGCAGCGTGGGGAACCGTATGCCTCCCCTCTGGATCTGGCCTCCAGAAGGACATCCATCAGGATCTTGTCGTCTTCCGGAGTCCAGATGGCGCGGTTGCATCCAGGGACAGTCATAGAAGGAGTTCGTAAAGTATTGTGCAATTTGGAAGTAGACATATACATGTGGGAGTGGTATTATGTAATTCGGTGCATACAATAGTGGGGCGTTCAAAGGAAGATGTAGAAGTCGCTGGTAAGCCGCGTCCGCGTGCCCGGTGACTGAAACGCGGACAGTCACACCGTGACAACATCAAGGACCCCATCAAAAAGCATTGAAGCGCTGAATGTGCTTTGTCCCCAGGTAATTGAGCCCGGGTCATTAAACAACTGTATAAACACAATAAATATGTGAAAAACAATATCGCCGGTGGGGTTATCTCGTCACAAAGGTGGAACAACGTCAAAGTCAACATGTGTTCGGTAAGAGGTGTGCGGGGTCGTGTTTCAAAGCCGCCGGCAGTAGCGCTCACTGTTCAGCTGCGTTGTCAACTTGTCACTCACGGGCACCGCACTCCGACTCGCGATATGCATTCCTGCTTAAATATTGACGAATATTGTTGCTCAGCCGGACTCTGCATGTCGATAGAGGCCTGATTGCTGTTTGACTTGACATATTGCTTTACACGAGTAAAGTAAAACGTATCCCGGCGGTAAGCGCATCAGTCAGCCAAGTTCACATTCATTTTACTACATGACCCGACGGTCTGCTCGCCGCTACTGGTAGGTCGTGCTACAGTGGTGACAATAGCGTCAGAGGCGGTGTCAGTACTGGAGCAAGCTGAACGTACTCAGACGCTGTGGACGCAAGAAAGGCGCTGCAGCGTTGCGGACATGTCGGATAGCCTCGTGAGAACGAGACATGCAAGGACAAATCGGTACCAAAGGTGGGCGGACACATGGTATGCGGTCTCGTACGTAACACGATTGACCTCGTAATTCAATACAACTGGTCTCGTGGTCGCACGGCGATGTCCTGCAGTCACCGTATATGTATGTGGGAGCTGCATAGATCGTAGTAGTCGGCGATCGTTATCCGCTTACGCAACACGCGGAAATGTC